GAGGATTGAAGGGACTTTGAGAGTGAGACTTCAATTTCGTTAAGGCAAGAACGTCTTAGTAGAGACAAAACCTAGTGATAGTCTAAGAGGTGCTATCTAATACCAAATGCATTTAATAAATTAATAAAGTATTATTATAATGAAAAAAAGATTAATGGATTAAGGATCATTTTTCATTGGACACCTTTATCTCTGAACATTAAGATTCTCACTCTTAAGCTCAATTATAAGTTAATCCTGTTCTTGAACAATTAATTTTTTTTAATATTTTTCACTCTTCCCCCCTCCTTCTGCCCCTCTCTTTGCTCCCTACTTTATCTCTTCGTCTCCCATCTCCCTCTCTCTTTGAACGCTAGCGTGCTTGGTAGTTTTGTGCGTGGCTTTGGTCGGAACACCCATGGCTGACGCCACTTTCTCTCTCTCCCTCCTCTCTCTCTCTCCCCCCCTCCCTCACTCCCTCTCTGATCCTCGTCCTTCATCCCCTCTAAACAAAGTTTGCATGATGCCATTTCCTTTGCTCTCTTTAAAGACTCGATAGGTGGTTCTATACTTAAATCCAAGCTCGTCTTGGATGGGTACTCGGGAGGAGCTTGAGACCATGCGTATTGAGGACATGCAAACAATTGTGCAAAAGGAGGACTCCCGAGTTTGAAAATGGAAGAAGAAGAAGAAAAAGACTCTTCATTAATTTATGCTACTTCTTGTTCTCTCACTTCAATAGAAACCAGAGCATACAAGCATGCATGCGGCTTAAAGTTAAAAATAAGAGTTAGATTTAAAAAGCCGAGTTTAGAGGTTCTGTTTAAATAAAGGTTTAAGTTTTAAGAATTAAATTTTTTTAAAATAACTGGACTTGAGAGCTTGGTCTTAATAAACCCTGTAGAGGAGGGCTTGAGCTCGAGTGGTCTTTTAAGCTCTATTATATTATTATTAATTTTTTTCTTTAGTAAAACATGTGTTTAAAACCAAGAAGGACCTGCTCGCTTGAAGCCTTAATCCTACACACATTACATTATTATTAATTTTAATTTATTTTAAAATTTATTTAATATAATTTAATAAATATCAATGTATAATATAAAACTTATGATATTTTTTATTTTTTATAATTATTATATTTGTGTATTTATAAAAAATGAACTATGTATTATTTTTTATAATTTAATAAATATCAAGATTTGAATTTTCTTACTAAACTTATAAATATGTATTGTTTAATTTATAAAAGATTATAAGAATTTTAATTTTTAAATTTTAAAATATTTTAATTAATTTATAGTGCTTAATTTTATTTTGATTTTTTTAAAACAGGGCTTATGGACTCGATCATGAACCCTTTAAATAAAAATTGAGCTTTAAAAAAAGATACAAAAAAAATAAGAAATTGAGCTTAAGAATTTAAACCCTTATAGACTGGACCTTAAAAGGCCAAGTCTTCTCATTTTCCAGCTCAACAAACAAGTGGGTTCTCAAGAGCATGACCAAGAGGATGTCTGAGCATTCGCGCCAATTTGGTGATGGATGGTGGGAAGCACCATCTCTGTTTCTAACATTTAAAATATAAGGGGAGGATAGGACCCAAGTCAAGCGTCATCATTTCAGTTTGAAGCTGCTTCAACACTGTAGTCACATTTCATCGTTCCTCTGTGAGCTATGACGACCTCACTGTGGGGGATAATTTGAGAGCAATGTTATCAATAGCAATGTTGAGACCCTCCATGGTTATGCACAAGGAGCCATTAATATTGGGTTCATGAACTAGCTTCGTAGATGATGCTGGGGGTATATTTGGAAGTGACGAGAGAAACTTGTGGGAATTTTGGGACACTAATGATAGCATTAACTCTCTTTAAAGAAGAAAAAGAAGAAGACATGGTATTAATATGAAATTAAAGGCTCGTTTATATGGTTTGTAGTTGAAGCTCGGCATGTTATCCTCTAAGTTCAATTCCAATGTTCAAGGATCGAGCGTTCAAGGTGTTCATGAAGGCCTGCAACCTGGATGGAGGAGAGAGAAAAATGGGATGGAACGCCAAGAGGAGAGAGGAGGTCTACAACGTGGATGGAGAAGAGAGAACAAATGTTAAAAAAAATACTAGCTGGTGGGACCTACTAACGGATTGTTCAGACTAGTTGATGGAAGGTGACGGGAGAGCAAACTTCAAATGATCAAGAACAAAATTAATTTATAGTTGAATTTGAGGTGTTTTTTGATCTTTTGCACGTAGTTAAAGGATGAAAATGAGTCTTAGGATTCGTTTGGTTTTCCTCCGTTTCACATTCAAAAAGTAAAATTTCACTTTTAAAAAGTTAAAAGTTATTTGAGTAGAATATTTTACAAGAAAGCTCATCCTGAAAGTACATTCAAACAGTAGTTGAAAGTGAATTTCTGAAATGTAACTATTTGAAGCTTTTGAAAAGTAGATTTAAAAAATAGAATGTTATTTGACAATACTATCCTAAGTTTAATCTCTTTTTTTTATTTAAAAAATAGTTAATTCATTAAAAATATAATTATTATTTTAATAATAATAATTAGGTATCAATTTTTTTAGTATTATAAATTAAGTAATTAATCATGTTAATTTTTAGCATTAATGTATAATAAAAATTACAAATCTTTATTACATCTTTTAAAATTACAAATTAAAAAATACAAATAATTAGAGATCAAATTTTTAGCATTATAGATCAAAATTTATGTTATTTATAATCTTTATTATATTTTTTAAATATTTTAAATATATTAAATTTGTATAATAAAAATTATAAATCATTATAAATCAATGTCCTTTTTGATAATTGTATATTTAAAAGCACATTTCACTATCACAAACTAAACAACTTTTAATGTATCAAACTGACTTTTGAAAAAATATATCCAAACACAAATTTTGTTACAACAACTGACTTTCATGAAACTAACTTTCACCAAATGAACTTTTGGCAAACTAAAAACTAAACACACACTTAATTTGAGGTTAGTTAGAGCATACTGTATATTAATAATAGAAAAATATTTTTTTATAGGAAATATTTAATCATTTCAATTGAAAGATTAAATAAATCTTAAATTATATTCCAAGTAAAAGATAAACCTTAAATTAGTAAAAATGACTTAAAATAAAAAATATTATGAAAAAAACAGTTTTTAAATTATTAAAAACTTTAACCATATTTATTATTATTGACATTCTTCATTTTTATATGATATTTTAAGATATATTATCAATAATATTTTAATTTAATTATAACCTATTCAACCACCATGACTCGATCATAATTTAACTATTGAAATGTAAACTTGTATCTCAATTGATTCATTTAATGGTCTAGTTTTCATAATGTTGGGCCTAAGAATTAATAAGTTACTCTCTTTATTTTTAAATATAAGAGAAAATAACCAACTCACATAATTTGAGAAAGTTGATTAAATATAATAATTTTGTCTAAAAATTTAAAAATTGGATTAAATCAAGAAAGTTGATTATTCTCTTTGTTAAAAAAAAAATGAAGCAGATGTGCCTAATAAAAATAACATCAATTTTATGATAGACAATTTGTGAAAAAACATGATGAATGCTTCTTGAAATTTATAATTTTGTTTATCAATAAAAACAAAAAGAAAAATGATAATTTTGCTTATATTCGAAAACGGAACAGCACTTGCAAAAGCATACTCTAGTTACGTGGATGACTTGTGAGTTAATTACATTTCAAATCTTATAAGTTAGTTTATTTTCTCTTTTAATTATTTATTTATCACAGCACATTGTAAGAATTAAGAAATTTATAAGAAAATATTGCATGTATAATTCTGAGTGATTTAATGAATTTTTACTTGTGGTTTTTTGATATCATTTCAAGACAAATTTAATTATTTTTAAATAATTTTTAACGCATTTTAATATTATAAAAGATGTTCGTTGATTGACGACTGTAGCAAAGAAAAAGCACAGATTTTCCTCAAAATAGCTTCCATTGACCAGAAATCTGAGCCCGAAAGGACAGTCCGATGACATGTTCAAGGTCTTTCTAAGCCCATTTTACCTCTACCCGTCACTTTAACAGCGATCACTCGCTTACTTTTTATGCTAAGTCTTCATCCTTCACCTCTTCCAGCTTTGTCTCCTAATCTCCTTCATCTGTAGCTGCAAGAACCTTTCTTCTCCCCCAATCATGGGCATCCCAGATGCGATGCTCTGCAGCTGCCCTTCATTTCATTTTCGCTTTTAGTCAGTTCTATTGAAAACTTTCAGTCCATTCAGTTTTTTAATCCAAAATGTATTTTTGGTCTTCTACTATGCTTGTGTGAAGTCCTTGGTATCACCTCTATCATTGGTTCATCTTTTCATTTTTCATTTTGTTTACTATTCTCTTATCTCTTTGTTGGCTTAACAGTGGATGCTTCTTCTTACTTCTCAAAGCACGGGTCTTTTATTCTGGGGATAATACATTTGATACTTAGCACCTGCATTTTCAGTGGAAACTAATTGGAGAAAGTACATTCATTCACTTATTTTATTTAATTTCCCGCTGATGGATGTGAGTTTAGTTACTTTCTATGATCAAAGGGATCCTATTTTTGTGGATGCCTCTGCTAAGAAACTAAAAGGCAAAATGTAATTGAATCTTAGTGTTTTCAAACGATACTTCGTCTTTCCAAATGGTTGCATTCGTACTACATGCTGATTTGACATTAGGACTAATGTCATATCTGCATTTGAAATCAAATTCGCTTATTTCTGGCTTGATTATTACTTTTTGCTTGTTCAATAGGTGACTAAATCAGATTACCTGTGAAGGATCAAATGACAACCATGCAGATTTATTGCCGTTGGTTTGATTCTGAGACTGAGACACAGTTAGTATCCGTTTGTATATCCAGTTCCTACTGCAATCGAAAAGCTGCTTACAAAGTGCTAATAGCCTGTTGAATTTGGGGCTTTTGTCTAATTAGCTAAGTTGGTCAAAGCATTTAGATCATGCCATACTATATACAGAGACTTTACAGGCTGTGCAAGGCATCTTTTTCTCCAGATGGGCCTGTATCTGAAGAAGCTCTTGAAAAAGTTCGTGAGAAGTTAGGTATATTTCTCATTACCCTTATTGGGTTTTCCCTAAAGGCAGATTTTTGTTGTCAACTCCATTGCTTTCCCTGCCCTGAATTTCATGGAAATTTGACATTCTTATGACTAACTTGCTGAGATTACTTATCTCTTTTGAACTCATCAACTATCATTGATTGCTAAGAATCTTTCTGATTCGTTTCTTTTTTCTTTTTTTCTAACATTTAAATATGAGGTGTGATTCCCAATTATGAATGTAAATAGTATTATAATTATAATAATATAATATTCTAAATTGGTCTGAATCGAAGTTTGCCCTTGTACTTTGTACAAAGAACACCAGGGCTTTGTCTTTTGCTATTCTTGTTCCTCCAAGATAAATTTTTCACTTTTGCCTTTAAGGTTTATCGTGAGTTATTGCTGGAATTCTATGTTTCTAAACTACCACATCTTTTCTGTTACGAGGGAATTTATTGTAGAAGGAAAGTTAATTAGGGAGCCTTGACATGAACCAATTAGTCCAGCAGAGAGTTAGTTAAAAGATAATTGACTCAGTCATGACAGCCGCAATCCCTATAAGCTATAAATAGGGAATATTATGTATTAAGATGACTGTTGAATAACATTATTCTTGGTACTTTTCTCTTTTCTCCCGTTTGATATGATGTATTTGGGACATCTTGTTTCTGCCAAGGGTGTGGAAGCTAATCCCTAGAAGATAACAATGGTTTCATCGCCTACTTCATATTCTATTAAAGGTGTAAGGTTTATCTAGGACTTAATGGCTATTATAGAATGAAGATTTGTGAAGGATTGTGGGAGATTAAGTAAGCCTCAAATGGATATGTTGAGGAAGAATGAGAATTTATGCGGTTTTCTGAAGCAGAAAATGCTCTTCAGTCATTTAAAGACAGCTATGACAGCAACTCCATTTTTGGCTCACCCAAATTCTGAAGAAAATTTGTAATAGAAAGAAATCTATCTGATGTGGGCTTAGGGGTGGTTTTCTCTTAGCAGGGGTGTCCTATAACTTTTGCAAGCCAGGTTCTATGCCCAAGTAAGAGAAATTCATCTGCATATGAGAAGGAACTAATGGCCATTGTCTTTGCAGTCAACAATATAAATTGTACTTTCAAGGGCAGAAATTCATCGTCAAAACTGACCAATGACCCCTTAAAACTTGCTTTAATTATGGGATCTTAGCTATGAAATTGTATGCGGATGAGGAAATGAGAATGGATCTGCAGATATTCTTCTAGAAGTAAGCACCCACAATAAGAGCTTATTCGCGCAGCAAATACTGCAATTGCTGCAAACCTTGCTATAAAAGTTCAACGATCATGGGAAGAAGATGACAGAGTGCTATCTCTCATAGCCCAGTTGCTGATTGGTCCGCTCTATTGGCCTCAGTATTCATGGGGTAAATATTTGCTTGAAAAGGAAAGGAAAAATAGTGGTGGTGCAAATCAGAATTTGAGGAAGCAGTTTTCACAGTATTTTCATGGAGATGCAGCTGGTAAACATTTGGGCATGTAAAAGAATCTCTGTCATTTATGGAGACTCAGGGATGACTGGATTGGAGCCTTGCAAACGATGGTGAGCTTTGATACCATGTTAATATTCCAGATGAGAAGTGAATATGAAATCATGCAATGTTATTCAAGATCTCCTGCGATGTGCTAGCCGATATATAAAGTTCAGTGAGTTACTGTACTCACTGAACTTTATGAACATGGACTTGTGGATTAGAAGATAACTACTCGGTTATGAACTTATGATAGCTGCCATCCCTATAGGCTATAAATAGGATGTATCATGTATTGAGGTGCTGTTGAATAACAAAGCTCTTGATACTTTTCTCTCTTTTCCATTGTCTGTTACCATTTTACTTGTTCATGAAACGAGTCTTCACTACTTGCTGGTCAGTGAAGGACAAAACTAGCAGTTTCTTTTCTTTCTTTCTTTCTTTCTATCTTTCTTTTTGTGTGTGTATTGTGAATTCTTAGACCTACTTTGAAGATGTAATGTGCTTTTTTAGTTACTTTCTTAATTTCTTATCAAGGGAGCAAGGGTCTGGGTTTGTCCAAGTGATGACGGCTTTTGACATGACCTAATTTATGCTGTTAATATCATATAAGATACACAAACACATTGACTTCATCTGAACTCGCTGCTCATACATTTTTGTTCCCTTATAATTTACTGATGTCCTGAACTGCTCATTTTGTTCTTGCGACGTGATGATTTAATTATCATTCATTTTTTTAATTAACTTTTGACATATTGCTCCAGAAAAAATCAAACCAGCAGATGTTGGCCTTGAACAGGAGGCCCAGGTCATTCGTAATTGGTCTGGTCCAATGCTTGAACGTAATGGTGGCCGTCAAGCATTGCCACCAATCAAATACTTGCATTTGCATGAATGTGACAGCTTCTCTGTAAGCATTGAAACTTATTACTCCTCATCATATTTAGTACTTAAACAGGACTTGCAGTTAGCAATTTTTATGAAGTTATTTCTTTGATGAGGTGGTCTCTCAAGAGATTGAGTTTTCATTGGTTGAATAGACTTTAAAGGATTTAATATTAAAACAGTAGTTACTAAATTTCTTTTAATGATGATGATGATGATGAAATTATTATTATTATTATTATTATTATCATTATTATTATTATTATTTTGTCTTGTTCAAATCTCAACATTCACCTCACATACAAAAGTTCAAACTCTTGAGAAGTCCACCCTTATATTAAAGTTGGACCTCATTTTAATTTTATCTTCTGCAGATAGGTATATTTTGCATGCCCCCCTCCTCTATTATTCCTCTCCATAATCATCCTGGAATGACAGTGCTGAGCAAACTCTTGTATGGATCATTATATGTTAAATCATATGACTGGATTGATTTGCCTGGCTCTGGTGATCCATCTGAAGGTTTGTGTTTTTATGACTTTACAGACTCTCGTGTTGCTCTGTCCAACTTTGTAGTCCTCTGTGCTTGCTTGGGAATTATTTAAGCTTAAATGTGATGAGTGCTACAATGACTTTGTACCGTTGAAGGATATTGTTTTATGAATATATAGAAAGATGACGTAGGCATCTTCTTTCCCCTAACAATAGCCCTTGTAAAAATCCAACAAGGAAGAAAATGGTAAGGCTTAATTTGGCCAGAAGTAGATAGAAGATCTTTGACCTCGCTTCTGTTATGTGATCTCTCTCATAGCTATCAAAAGCATATGCAGTAAAAGATGGAATTGTATTCAACTACAAATTGAAATTGACTGGTGGGATTTTTGGGAAAAGGGTAGTGAAATGGATTATGTTGAGTACCTCAGAGACATTCTTGGCCAAGTTTTAAAAAATGGGCCAAACATTTTGTCAAGGCAAGTAGTAGGGCAAAATTCAATTTGATGGACAATCCCTGTTTTCTGTTATAGGTTTAGATACTTATTTCAAGTTCTGGCTCCCTTGCCCAACCCAAATCTGTAAGATATAACTTCTTTATAGCCATTTCTTTGGTCATGGGACGACCAAGGCTCAATAGAGAAGGTACAACAAGTATTTTGTTTCTGGTCTCAACTGGACGTTGACATCTCTTGATATACTTTATTGCTTTCACAGTCTCTGCTGCGTTATGGCTTGACCCACAAAGACTGACAAGGAAATATTTTTACCATCATTATATTTATGGCAAGTTTCCTTCTATTGGGGAAGCCAACAAACTAGCTGGACTAAGTAGTCCTTACTTTTTCAATGCCATTTGTAAAAGGTTTCCTTTAATTAATGATTTTCTTAAACCATAGTTTCTCCCGTTTGGAATTGTCCATCTCATCATTCCTCTTTCGAGACATTGCTCCAAAACCAAAATTCTTGTTTGACAGCTAAACCAGCAAAGCTTGTCAAAGATGCAGAGATGGTAGCACCGACCCCAACAACAATTCTTTATCCTGCTAGCGGAGGAAACATTCATTGCTTCAGAGCTATAACTCCTTGCGCCATCTTTGACATATTGGCTCCTCCATATTCTTCAGAAAATGGAAGACATTGCACCTATTTCCGGAGATCCCCAAGGAGAGATCTTCCAGGTAATGTACTTTATTCACAGCAATGGTTTAGTTTCTATTGAACTTGTTTTCTCGTAGTCTCCCACATCCTGATCGTTGTGCTGTAAGCTGCTATCTCCTAGTGGGTTATAAGGGATAAGGCTTCTTCTTGTTATTGTTGTATAATATTGACAATGCTCTTTGAATTACAGGTAGTGTTGAATTGGATGGAATTACAGTTTCTGAAGTGACTTGGTTGGAAGAGTTTCAACCTCCAGACGACTTCGTGATCCGGAGAGGGCTTTACAGGGGTCCTGTTATTGGAACATGAAAAATTACTTGTTTTTAGTGTACTTACACTCAAGAATTTAACTTGTTAGTTTAGGGGTCGTTGAAGGGAATCATGCAGAACGTGTTATCAAAAGCCATTGCAATACTTTTATTCTTTGTTTATATATTAGGCATTTGGTTTGTACACTAGATAAATATTTTTATTTAACTATAGCTGAACATTGCTTTTTTAGTTTATTGTTTGTTTGTATAAAAAATATCCACAAATTATTGGTACAAGTAGCCAAAACGAAGTGAATTGGCCCGTAGTTTAAAAATCTCAGGCCTTTATAGAAGCTCTCATTTTTTCCAGTGGGAGTTTTCTCAATCTTTAAAAACATTTAGACAGTGTTTAAATTTAAATTTTATATTTTATATTTTACATTTAAAATTTGTGCATTTAAAATATTTTATTTAAATAGTTTAAAAAATTTTAAATGAATAAGAGAGATTGAAATTCCAAATAAAAAAAAATTAGAAACCATAAGTTTATTTTTATTTTTTAATTAAAAAATGAGAAAAAAATAAAAAAAATATAGAAACTATAAAAATATTAATAATAAAAACATGAAGAGGATAAAATAATTAAAATAATTAAAATTTTTAAATGAATAAAATGTAGATAAAATTTAAAAAAAAATAAAAATAAAAAATAAATTTAAATTGAAACCTAATTTAAGTTCATAAATTTTTATATATTTAAATAAAAAATTTAATCTAAATTTAAATTTACATCAATTTAAAGTACAAACAATTCATTTCTTTGTGAGAAAATTTCAAGCCAGCAATAGGGCCCTCGATTTTTTTTTTTTTTTTATAAATGGGAAATTTCTCGTGGCCCTTGGAATTTTGTGAGAATTTCTCACATCCACCCAGAAACCGTAAGAAATTGTCGCGACGAGTGGGAGCTCGGAGCTCCCATTTTTTCCAAGTGAGGAGATTTTCCTTACGGCCTCTGAAAATCCGTGAGGATACTGACGACATCACAGAAAGCGCGAGAAATCAAAATTACACCACCAAGGAAAGAAAAGAAATGAAGTTACAAGTTCTTCAGCCAAGTTATTATTATTATTTGTTCAGAGTGGGGGAATTTCTTGAGATTCAGCCTCGAAATAAACAAAAGGAGTGGTGAGCAGAAGATAACAGAGAGAGGATCGCAAGTAGCCAAAATGGTTGGGAAAGTTTAAGATAGACTCTCCACGAAACACGGGCATGTGATCATTTGCGATCTCTACAACCATGCAGCATGCCATTAATCTCTCTCTCTCTCTCTCTCTCTCTCTCTCTCTCTGTGTGTGTGTGTGTGTGTGTGTGGAATACAAGCTTACAGTTTTGTGATTTTGTGGAGGCGAAAGAGTCGCCGCGAAGGTAGGCACTCCATGCGAATTCACTCGCTCCACAGAGAGAGAGAGAGATCCCTATTTGCACGTTTGGACTGACCCTAGATTCTTTCCATTTACTGTCCTTTTCTGTTGGTAAATTGCTTTTTATATTTGATAGTGAATTTATAATATTCTTAATCCTGTTTTAGAAATATATATTAAGTTTTTTAAAATCAAAAAATAATTTTGAGAATTCAAATAATAATGATGATGATGATAATTTTATTAAAAAGGTCCCTTGTTATTTATTGTAAATTGAAGATCAATTTGTTTATTGTTTATTAATTTTATACCAACAGTTAAGTTTTTTCTTTTAAGGAGTATCTATATCATCGTGAATAGAGACTCATCTTTCTCAAGGCACTAATAACAAAATTAATGTAATATTTAATTCAAATTAAATTGGAAAAATTAATCACTATGTATAAATTATTCAAAATTTGAAATAATTTATAGATAAATTCTTTTTTCATAAATTTATTCAAATATAATTTTATGATTCTAAATGAAAATACATATTTAATGCTTGTTAATGTAACTGAATATTACGGTTATGATCTTATGGTTTATGTTTTCTAATGAAAGAGATATATTTGGTTATACAAATAATAACGGAAAATTTTGGTTGGCAAAAAAAAAAAAAAACCGAACATTTTGTACGGAGTTCCTGATCAACTTACATGAAAATGGAATATATGAGAGAAGAAAACTCTAGATAGCTCAATCAGATATCTATGGGGAATGCTATATATAGCTAGTCTCCATGTATAAATTAAAAAAAAAAAAAATCTTAGATATTGACATAAATTTTAACTATTTTATATCTTTGAAGAAGTCTATATGTTTATTTGAAAGGAATATTTTGACCGTATATATTCCTTGGTCTAACAATTTGGCTTCATGTCGATTTTTATAGGAGTAACTAGAAAGTTAATTAGAATTCTCCATTAATATTTTATTATTATGGCTTGGTTTAAGGGTTCAAGACTGAATTCACACGCACGATCCATCATTTCTTAATTTCCAGTAATCAACAATATTACATCAATAACTTTAAACTACTCAAACAATTAATTGCATAATATTTTTTTATGCTTTGATTTTTCTATTTCCAAATGAGGAACTAACGGGGCATATATAAGTTGTTTTTGGTGCGTATCTAATAACTCAATACATGCATGGTTACGTTGTATGCCGTTCGGTGAAAGAATTGTTATTACTGACTTAGAAACTCCTTGAAATATTTATTTATTTTAAAACCCTATTTCCTCTGGTAGTATATATAGTGAATCCCTAGCCCTGTTTCTGTCTTAACATTTCTCCATTCGTGCAATGAATAATCAAAAGCAAATAAATAGAATAAAAAATCCATCAAGATCAATTCATCATGAATAACATCATGGAGACAGCATGGGCGTTCGATTTTACGTCGGAAACTATAAAAACCATAAATTTGATAAAAGCACATAAAACTTAAAACATTTTACATTGGTCGCACGGATTTCTTCATGTAATATATTTCATCTCATTCTATTTATAAGCCACTAATATCATGTTTTCCTGAAATCAAGAAAAACATTAAACCTCATTAATTTTATCTTAAAATTTAACAAGTTTTCACCTTTACTCCTAATAAATATTCTTAAATCTCATTAAAGGTAAAAATATAAATTGAAACATTAAAAATTGACAAATGTCTTATAAATAGGATCAAATTTTTTTCTTTTTCTACCCTATAAATAAGACTTGAGGAGTATAAGATACTTTCTCCTATCTTATTTAATTTTTTTAGTCCTATATATAAGTTATATCATTAAATTTTATCATAAATGTTCCTTTTTACCTTTCATTAAAGGTTAGAGTGAGAAAATATGTTGTTAAAGTATCTATATTTAATAAGGACAAAATTGAGAACTTATTAAATTGTTAGGTAGAATTATTAATGAGTCTTAAGGATTTATTTGGTTCAGGTGAAACATGTTAGAACTAATTTATAAATAAGAATAGAGAAATACAAATTAAATAATAATAAGATGTGGAGTGTGAGCAAATTAAATAGACACTATTGTTTATAGTGAAAGAGATTATGGTCACTTAGGCATGAGATTTTGACTTCTACTCCTAATTGTGAATGCATTGCAGAAAATATCTTTAAGAAAATTGAACTAATTATTGAACCTGTCAAAATACTAATTCAAGGGTTAATAGTGAAAATCGTAGTTGAATCGTGATTAAACGAGTCATAACTAAAATATTCTATTAAATTGATCAAGACACTATTTTAATAGTTTATCGATTTAATTGAGAAGGTTAACCTAGATTTTCATACTATACTTGAATCTAATCCAATCAAATAATTATGTAAAAAAAGTTGAGGAGTGTGGACATTGCCAACCAACAAAATACAAAATATACATGTATACAAAAAAAAAAAAAAAAAGAAAAAGAAAGGTGTAATTCTGAGCAAGATTCTTTGCTTCTCTCCAAAATGTTCCTAAAAAATAAAACATGTCAACTCCCATGCACAAAAGATGACAAACATGAAAGTTCAGAACGTAGAAGTAGCCTAATTTCTCTCTTTTTATATTTTTCTGCCTTTTAAAACTCACACGACAGCGCTGCATATGTATTATATCGACTTTCCAATCCTATGGGTTTGTTTAATCCTTCGAATATTTGTCTTCATTGAGTTTCTCTCTCCACTGAGTCTTCCAACACACATGAAAACGGGTGTGTTCACACAGATCTATAGTCAAATTCAAGCGTCGTTTTACTCAAAAACCTAATCCTTGAAATGATTCCTCTCTGATTATTGGGTCCTACTCCCACACAAAAAACAAACCAGAGTTTGAATAATAAATGTATGGTCTCTATGGTTTTACGACAAATGGTTCAAATTCACCCCAAGATGCCCGTGGAAAGTAAATCCTTGGACATTAGGGAAGCAGATCCACAAATGAGACAATATGAGGGAATATCATATACCGGACCAGTCTCTGTCTTATTTACCATTTTACTTCTTCTGGGTTTATTTTGGCTGCCATCTTTTCACCATTTTAACCTTATTCTGATCTCCATTAATACTATTACTTTCCCCCTCAAGTGTTTGAGATCCTAAATTGCCAGAGTTTGAATCACATGCAGGCATATATATAATTCAGTTTTCTCTTCATTTTTTATTTTCTTTTTTCGTAGGGTAGGGTTTGATGACTTCCCGAGATAGATAACGCATCTTCTCTCTATCTTCAATTTTTTCCGTGAAATTGATCTCGATCTCTTGCATGAGGTAGGTCAAGATTGACTTGGAAAACATGCCAACTTCAATCAGCTTCGTCTGTTAATAATATGTAAATTAAACCATAACTAGGACGACAAAGCTTGAAAGCGGAATATAATTCAGGTCAAGAAAAAAAACCATGGTTATGGGGAACTTCTTGGACACACAAAATATTGTCAGTTTTGTTGGTAAGAGAACACATAGGACAAATGTTTTCTAGCTCCTTTCTTTACCCCTATCATTACCAATGTTACCTATAAGTAGTTTTCAAGACACACAGACATGAATTTTTTCGAGATTTTATACATACATTATATGCATGGGGTTATTAAACTCTTGGGGATTTGAAACTTATTATATATGACGACGCGAATTTACGGATACGCACATGCTCAGAACATTTTCCTTTCTCCTTGTAAAAGATCAAAAAGAAAAAGAACTGAAACGAGTTTACCAGAAGTAGACAAATATTATGTAGAAGTTCAACTTCTTTGTTGCCTGAGTAGGTAAAAATTCGCATCAGATGTCCTTTTGTCCTTAACACAAGAATGTCCTTTTTTGGCATCCTTTTGCTTTAAATAATTTTAACTGCATATTTCATGGGTGCACCCTCTGATATATTTATAACATCAGAATATAGGTTTTGGTTGTTTTAATTAATATATTTAAATCAAAGGGATATGTTTAGACTATATTGAATGGGAGAATAAAGGAAAGAAGTGAATATATTTAAATTAATTTAACGCATTGCTAGCTAGCTAGAGCTGAATATAGATCATGTATTATATGCCTGCTAAAACAGTATCAATATATAGTTCATATACGGCTACAACAGCACAAATAGTTAATTAGGGTTAGTTAATATAAATTTTGACAACGAAAACAAATCAGAGTGGGTATCAGAAACAAAGGTCAACACAAATCGATTATCAAGGAGAGGTAGGCAAAAGAAGCAACTCAGAAAGAGAGAGGAAGGAAGAGAGATATATGGACAACCTGTCAAAGAACTACGTACTGGAAAGAGAGAAAAATGATCAAGAAGTCACATGATTTCCAAGAGTCCAAAATAGAGGTCATATGCGTCTTTGATCTCAGATGTATTGAAATATATATACATTAGAGACCAAGAGTTGAGATCACTCTAGCTACCTTGTCAGCGCAAATTAATGATCTACGAAGAAAATATTGATAACTTACAAAAAATAAAAGGAAGGAATATTGTTTGTCCGACAGTCGTCTTCTACATCCAATATTTTATATTATTTTGTATATGCTACTAAACTGCGAGAATATTTGATGAGCGAAGACTAATTAATAGGGTATTAATTTGAAGCTCAATTTTGCATACATTCCAACCAAAAGTCCACTTGTTAATATAATTAATGCGCGCATCTAGAACTTCTCTATATACAGAAAGGAACCTTACCACACAGTAACAAGTCTACCTTTACCGGCCTCTCTGATCTTTCCCTCCCTCCCTCTCTCTGTATATCTTCCTGTGCACGTAGGGCTTCCATCAATAGTGATTGGCTTCAAGTGATTCCACGACGAAGAAGAAAGAAGGATTCAACCACCGGCCGTTCTTCTGCAGCTGCTTGGTACATATATATCTGGATCACCCTTCTTCTTCCTCTAATAGTCAGCCTCAAACCTGATTGATCAGCATATTTTTGCTTGGTTTAGACTTTAGATCATAGTTTGGTGAAAGTTACTGTTTTCTGCAGAATCGTCTGTAGTCTGATCATCTAGCAGTGCTATTTTGGAGATTCAAGCCTGTTTATAAGGTGTCCAGCTTTATCGTCAACAACTAATGGTCTGTCGAAATCTCTCTTTATCCACACTTGAATTTAAAACCAATAAACTTCTGATTGGAGTAAACCTTTTGTAATATTTTTGTTTTGTTTGTTCCTCCTTCAAGATTTTCAATTTTACCGTCTTAAACTTCATCCACTTAATTTAGTCCAAAAATGCTTTTCGCTTGAATCCATCATCCATCATGGCCTCTAGTTATCAATATTCAATAGCTACACTTTTTTATATAGTTCTCGATATCTAGATTTTCACTAATGGATCGGGGGATTTCGTAGGTGATGCATCCTCCTTCTAGTTCAATTAATCAGATGAGCTTGAGTCTCCTAAGACCTAAGATTTAGGACTATGTTCTTGGTATCAAGTGTGGCAAGAAAGTTTCATTAAAATATCAAGGATCCTTTGCACAAAAAAACATCTTGTTTTTCAATTCAGTACTACATTAATGCATTTGATTTCTGCACATACACGTAAGACAAATTCTTCGCGGTATTTTCATGTAGCTTCCATACTATTGGTTGTATTTCTGAGCTTTGTAGTAAACCATATCTCTAACAGGAATAGATAAATCATTAGAAGAAAAATTTATAGTTACTGAAAATGGCCGAGAACATACACTGCATATCTGACGACGACAAGAGCGACCGTACTGATTTGGAAGCCAGACCTAAGAAACATTCATTCTTGGATCTGAATGAAGAAGCCGTGGTTGACGATGGAGAGACCAGCATCATTGATGATAGATCGTCTCCAGAAGGGAATTCGAGCAGTAACAACTCAAGCACAGATCAACTGAGAGAACGAACAACGAGTGTTAGGCACTACGTGAGGTCCAAAATGCCAAGGCTTCGTTGGACTCCTGATCTCCATCTGGCTTTTGTACTTGCTGTTGAGAGGCTTGGTGGACAAGAAAGTAAGCGTACTATATTTATGCACACTTTATTTAATCCAAAGTAACAAAGAAGACTTAGCTTAAAATTTATTATTTATATATAACCATCAGTTGATTTTTCTTAGCTTCTGCTATTCTAATCGTTCTTTTCGGTTGTTAGGAGCAACTCCCAAGTTGGTTCTTCAGCTCATGAATGTGAGAGGACTTAGCATTGCACATGTAAAAAGTCATTTGCAGGTACATTAACTATATTTGGTTTATCAATATGTGTCATTTTTAATCTTAAATCATAAACCTTCAGGCTCATTAATTGTGAAACATACCCATTGATCAATGAAAATATGTTGAGTAGATAGAAAGATGTTCATCCTCTAATTATATATGTATGTATGTATGTATGTATGTATATAATTCTACAGCTTCTAATTTTATGTATGCGCTTTGTTACTGAAATCCAGATGTATCGAAGTAAAAAGCTTGATGAGTCTGGCCAAGGTATAATTTCCGAACATTATAGTTCTGTAACGTTGATTGTTTCCATAATCATACAAGTCCACATATTTCAAGCTTCAAGAACTAACAAGGTTTCATGAATTTTATATTTTAGTCTTATCTCAAAATAGGGGAATGCATCATGGAAGAGGACACATTGTGGAGATGCACGAAAGATACAATAAAGCCCAAGGGGGCCACTTTGGGATAGATACCAACTATCAAGCGTCATCTGTGCTAATGAAACGTCCGTATGACTATGACTTCAAACGCGCTTCAAACCCATCAAGGTTTGAGAAATTTAAAACTCACTGGGAGGTGGACTTAATTAATTAATTATTAACTAATTAATTAAGTTTTCTATAAAATCCTAAAGTTAATTAATATATTTTCATACATGATTGGAGGCACAATATTAAAAATCAGTCAACACGAGAAGTTGAACTAGCAAACCATTGAACCAAATGCCTTGACCATTCAATGATGTTTTGTTTATGATTAGTTTAACCACTGTTTTGACTATTAACCATTGAACCAATATCTTAAATGATCTACAGGCTTCAGACATGTGGGACAGTAGACAAGTATCAGTGGGCAAGATCAAGTTTAGAGTGGAGCAACAATAACACGATGGCAACCAAGAGGTCACACTTATTTGATGTAAGGGATGCAATAACAAAAAGTGGATCTATTAGATGTAGAGAATTTCTCCAAGAACAAAGATTCCATCATGGTGAAAAAGTTGGAGTTGGATCACAAGTCAGTAAGAGACTAAGGATTTCTTGGGATGACAAGTACAATAATTTAGTGGAACCTTATAATTCTCCTCTATGGAGAACCAAAGCTAGTTCTGTCCACCATAATCAACGCCAATGTAGTTCTTGTGCTCCAGTCTTTTCGCCAACTCATTGGCAATTTGATGCTAAGGTACGCAGTAACTGATCACCTTGATGTCAATTTGCACAATTGATATAATGCAGATTGAATTTCTTTGATGGCTGGTTGGCACTATGGAAAATGAGGCAGAGCAAACGGAGATTGAATTATGATGAAAATTTAATGAGGGTGAAAATGGGAAGATATAACAAAAATTAAAACAATATCAATGAGAATATGGGTTATGCCAATATTGACACTAGTGACAAGAATATGCAAGATTTCCTTTAATCCAATATTTACTTAAAGATTTAATAGATATGTGAATACACTGTAACCAAGCTGTTTCTTTACCCTTATCCCTATATGTACTGCCCAGTGCCCAACCCTAGGCAGTGTGTAGGTGAAATAGTATTGCTTGGCTTGTTAAAACTATTTTTCGTCATCAGCTTCAGTGAACCTATAATATAGCTGGTCAAAATCCATGTATATATGAATTGCACTTAACAGGGAGCCAAGTGTCAGTGTATATATTTGCAGCTGGTTTCTGAATTGGGCTAATAAGAAAATAACACTTTTGGAATGTAGGTTCATGATATCAGTGAGGAGGAGCCATCGCAAGCAGGTGATCAGGTGAAAGACCAATCATCAGAGAGGTCTACAAGTTTCTTAGAGCTAAGTTTAAGGCGTGATGATTTTGGAAACGTTAGAGAGAAGAAAGTCTTAGGTTCAGAAAGCGAGCAAGAAGTTAACACGAAGCTTTCTCTTTCGCTGTTCTCTTCATCAAGGCAACGCGTGACATGAAAAATAATATCTGAAATCTTATACCCATGAATTATTGTTGAGAGAGCTTGTGTTCACGTTCACAATAGTATTAACTTGGGAGAATCACATTTAAGAATCACTTAAGAAACTTATAAAAAAGACCAATACATAATAAATTATTATTAAAATGAGAACACTGAGTTATTATTTCTTGAATAAGATTTGTTATTGATTGATCTTTACATGTGAATAAGTTTCTCGAGTGATTCTTAAATATGATTTTCCCAATTAATTTTGCACCAAGAACTCAATATTTGAGGTGTGTACTTAGGATCTGACCATGCATGCCTATAATATAACGGAGCAGAGGAGTGAGATCATTTAAGTACTTGCTTTAATTGGAGCCCATAGGCATATGCATGTTATAAGGACATTTTCTCTGGACTTCAAATAAATCAAATAGCTGATCTTTTAGTCATTTTTGGCTTTTTGGCTTTTGATGTTTTTCTTATGCATGCAGGAAAATGAATGCGTGAGTTTTTTTTTTATCTTTAATTTGAATGATTTTATGTTCTTGACGTACAGATGTTTGATTTATGATGACATAAGTAATTTTTTTATTCACGTACGTAATTATATTCGTAATCGTTAATTACATAAAAATTAAATTAATTTTTTAAGATCGTCAATTATTGAAAAGTTATTATTTTGGATAATTACTTAACTATTTAAGTAATACATTATACATGTGTTAATGATAATTAAGGCTGATGCGTATCGTGGACTACCAAAGTTGCCAGTAAAATAGAGAAAATAATGGATTGAGAATCTTAAACAAAGTCAAGTCATGCACTGTTTACAATTATACAATTTAATTTTAATTTGTTGTACTGTTGAATTGAACTGTAACTTAATTATTATAAGGCTAAGTATAGGTGAATAATTTGCGAGAAGTTTCAAGTTTTCGATCTTCTATGTATTAGAGGGAAAACAAATTGACCGATCAATGGGCGCAGAACTTTCTTTCATGGATTCAGGTGAGAAAAAATTGCTTGGGAGATGCGAAATGTCAATCAAGATCAGTTGTGCATGTACAAGTTCCTGAAAATTAAAATCTTGAAATTAAATAATTAGTCTTGGTAATGATGGGCTGATGAAAATACTACTTGCGTGTAATAACTAATAACGCACCTGTATCTGGTCGTGTGTGTGTGTGTGTGTGTGTGTGTATTAGTATAATGTTTCTTAAACAAATTAAGCAAAGGACAAATCACAACTGAAATTATTATCAGATGGTGAAGGTGGCCTGAGGTCATTGGTTGGCACCGTACAGGTGACATAGGATTCTTTATGTATTCTCCCACGAGGCTCATAGTCATCCGTTTGATTTGTTCCAAAAATATATTTCTTTAGTTTTATTTATATTGCAGAGAGAAGATTAGTTTTAATCTCATTTTTAGGGCATTTCACTATTATATATATTTATCTTTACTTTTCTGTTTTATTAAATGTTAAAAAAAATTATTAAAAATTATTCTTCTAATAGAAGTAAAGATTATTTGAAAAAAAATTGTTAAATTTTAAAACAAAATTACTGAGCTTTAAGGTTATGTTCAGTGTTAATTTTAGTTTCTCAATTATGCCATCCATTAATTACAGGGCATTAATTTTTTAGGAAGCAAGTGCACATATTAATTGTAAGGGCAAGAAGAAGATGAACTATTTCCGGTGGCCGACCTTTTTAATCCCTCATCCCCTTCTATTCCCCCATCAACTGAACCAAACACACTTTAAAAGCATCATCAAATGGCCCTAGTGGCCCTTTTAAGTTTTTCCACTTGGTGGACACTGTATATAGGTGAAACAAGCTTCATGGTCGATATGTATTGTCCAATTAATGTTGTTGTAAAGAGAGCCTAGATGATCTATCCTTAATTTTATATATATATTTCATGTCAATTAATTAACCTAGAATTAAAATGTTTGGGAACTTAAATTCATCCCAAATTCAATTAAACAACGATTGCTCATATCTGCAACTATGTGTGAGCGAGTTGCTGATTTATCGAGGTAACTTAAAACAACGTGAAGCACGTTTACAGAACATGCAGCAATATACAACATACATGAGACAAACATAAGATTCGGAAAACCAATCTGCCTCTAGCAACATCGATGCACCCACTTCCTACACTCTCTTATTGAACTAGGAAACAACATGAAAAATTACACAGCACATCATATGAAAACTGATCAATAAAAGGAAGGAACATACGCTAGCTAGGCAACATACAGCAAAGGTCTCCGCACGTGCAGCAAATTAACAATTTCCTTTAACATCCTCCTCCTCCTCCGCCACCACATCCGCCTCCACCGCCTCCTCCGCCGCATCCGCCGCCGCCTCCCCCCACGCCGCCGCCACCCCATCTTCTTCGAGTCCTGGGGGAGTTATCGCCACAAGCAAATACGACCATTGAGATAACTGAGACGGACACAACAATCATCGCTAATAGCATAAAGGTTCCAGAAACAGAACCATTCATGATGCTGCTCATAATTTGATCTTCATTTCCGCCACCAAAGGCAAAGACATCTCTGGCCATATCTTTCTCTTCACAAATTCCACAGAGCCCCACCTGTATTTTAAATTGCTAATTTATCAGCAAATGGCAATGTGTGGGTCTGTGTCACTGCTCTCTATTTATATTATACACTAATAGACCCACGCACGCATGCACAGCGTGGCTGTGTGGATTTACGTTTGGTAGCTCATCACGCAAGTCCTAAAAATTTCGAAGAAGTTGCATGTCTGAACTGTTGCATAAGATTAGATATTTATTTCGAAGAAGTTGCTTAAGATCAGATATTTATCTTTCAACAAAAAAGAATAGTCAGTCTTCTGGATGCTTGTTTGAACAGTTTGGGGTGGCGCAAACGCTACCAAAAACACACCTGTACGTCTTTTTATTCGCTGCGTAAATTTTAAAAATAAAAGTCCTGCATTTTTTATTACTATTATATTGGCTGCAGAAATAAGAATAAAATAGAAGTATTTCATCTTTACCATTATCTTCGGAATTTTCATCTTGACCTGCACAACTTCTCCGGCTTTCCTTCAGTGGGATTATTGACAAGTCAGACCGGAAGGGAGGGTGAAAAGTTATGAAGTTTTGCCTTTTTTTTTTTTTTTTGGGTACAATGAAGTTTCGCCATTTGTTCAGTGAGAGGGTGAGCAAGGCCCAAAAAAAGCATGAAAGTCCATCTAAAGATGGGCCCGGCGATTCGTTCATCATAGACCTGGGTAGATTAGCCATCAGACGACTTTTCCCAAATGGTGCGGAATCTTTAGAATATTAGAAAATAATAGATATATTTCCTTTATTTTATTTATAAGACATTTTTAAAAGTAATTTTTAATTTAAAATATAAGATATTTTATAATAATTAAATTATTTTTTTAATTTTATCACTTCTTAATTAATGTAAAGATATTTGATGTGGTTGTATTATTATTCAAAACTAAGGGTAAAAATGAAAATATATATTACTTTTTAATAATATTAAGAAAAAAAAATTAACTTTTTTTAATATATGTGAAATGATTAAAAGTGTTCTATAATAAAGACATGAAAAAATATTTCACTAAGGGAGAGAGAAATACACATGAAAAATGAATGTGGAGGATGAGACTTAAAGGTACCATTATGAAGCAATATAGTACAAGCATACAACAAATCAAAAGAAAAAATAATCTAAGACAAAAAATTAAGCTAGATAATTAAGTAAAGCAAGTTATTAACTACGTTGTTGTCCACCACCTCATCCTCCTTCCTCCTCCGCTGCCGCATCCTCCTCCATCATTGCCGCCGCCGCCATGACTGCAGTGGCCCCATCTCATGCGAGGCTTGGTGAAGTAATCGCTACAAGAAAATATGACCAATGAGATAAGTGAGAGGGACATAACAATGATCACTAATAACTAGAGCCATTCCCTTTCATGATGCTACTCATTTGATCTTTGATCATTTCCACCACCAAAGGCAGAGAGGTCTTCTCTACCCATATTCGCTGGTTTCACAGATAGAGTTGCGCTTGGTATGTCCAGCGAGTGTGGAATTTACATTCAGGTTTTCAAGATGAGACTGCTCACTCGATGGCTTCCTGTCATTTAAGTCATATTTACCCACTGAATTAAACGTGTCTTGCATGTCAGTGTACATGGCTAAGAAATTTCAAGCACTTGGCAAAAATTGATAGGTTTTTCGAACAGAATTACTCGATCGTTTTGGAACTTCTTGTGAAATTAGAATCACATCAGGGAAAAAAGGCAATAAAGTAGCTAGTTTATTAATTGCCTTTTGTTTTATGTGAATTTTTCATTTTATTTATTTTCATCATTCTGATTTTATCCTCTATCGATACTGTCTTATTGATTCAGTCTGTTTCCTCTCTCAGACGCCATTAACATTATTATTTATTGAGGATAAAGTGGTTTTTTGCTCCTGCAATTTCTTGGAGCTAGTGTTAGATGTAGAGCATTTTTTTAAATAAGTTTCCAGAGTAGCAAATATTAATAGTGGGAGATTTTTATTCCTTTAAAAAATAATTTTAAAAAAAATTGTTTCATTTATTGCCTAGCACCTTTTAAAGAAAAGTATAGAGGCAAAAATAAATTTTAACCCCCTGAAATATGTAAATGTGAATGAGATATCATAAAATCTCATAATTTTTCTCAAGTCCCTAAGAACCTTTCAGACATTAATGATTTTTTATGAAATAACTAAAATACTTCAGTTTAGAATAAAAAATAAATAATAATGATTACTTTTTTTTAGCAATGACTAAAATGTAATAACCAATTATAACTTTTCTTATATAAATTTTTGATTTATTGAAATGTAAATGTTATAAATATCTATGACTATTTTAATTTAAGCAGTGAATATTTTTCTTTGGACAATGACCAAAATAAAACAAGTAATTATAACTTTCTCTCTACTAATTTTATCCTTTCAATCATTTAAAATCCCTCTCCATTAACATATCACTAATGGAGAGAAATTTTTACTCTTCTAAAAAATAATTTAAAAAAAATACCTCACTTATTAATATAGAGTGTCCAACACTCCTTAAAGAAAAATATAAGGATAAAAATATACTTTGGCCCTTATTTATTAGCAAAGTCCTGCATGGATATACTTAAAAATGACCAAAATGCATTTTAAGAGAAGGATTGCATGATTTTATAGTATGTAGAGGTGTTTAAGAGATGGGATGGGATCGAGACACCCCTCTCCCGTGTTCCATCTCAAAAATAATTGAGATTGAATTTTTATCCCGTGTCTCATCCTATTTTAAAAGGTGTCTCACTCCATAAGAATTGAGACAAGACGAGGATGAAATAGAGATGTGTCACCATCCTGATAAAGCGAACAATATGAGAGAAAGGCCTGAATATTAATATTCATTAAATTTTTAAATCATATAATTTATTAAGTTTAAAACTAAAACAATATAAGTACATAAATCACAATAATTTAAAATTAATTATTTAATTGCATCAACTACAACTACAATTATACAACATAAAGTCAAATATACATGAGACATAGCACATTATAATAATAATTACAAGTGATTTCTAAGCTATAAGAGCAAAAAAAATAGACAAGTCAAGTACAATATAAAGTCATTATTCTTCCTTTTTACTTGAGATACGTTAAGCTAGTGATTACTCTTTCAAAAATAAAGCAAAAAATAAAATACAAACAAAAATTATTGAATATATAGATATAAGAATAAATTGTAGGCTAAAATATATAAAATCTCCTTGAATTTTGAGACAGTTGCATATGACCCCCTAATCTTTAATTTTATTTTTCAAAACCCTCTATTGTTAATTATGTTATTTTTTCACGAGGATTAAAATATCATTCAACTAAAAAATATTATTAAAAAATATTATGTTATATAACTATTTATAATAAATTTATATTTTTTGAACAGTTGAGGTATCAATAACAAAAAAAATATTATTATCACTGTATAAAATTTTAAATATTTATTTTATATTAGTTTTATTCATGTTTTTTTGTTATAAATGGTGCATGATTTTATTGTTTTAAAAAATAAATTTTTATTTATATTTTTATCTTAAATTAATGTAATGCACATGGCTAAAATATTTAAAATTTTAAATATTATCATGTTAGATTAATTTATCTTTTAATATTAAAAAACTATGCACCATTGATACTAAAAAATATAAAAAACTAACACAAAAGTAAATATTTAAAATTTTATATGGTAATAGTAACATTTCTTTTGGCTATTATCAATGCCTCAACAATCCAAAAAATATAAAAAATTTATTATAAATAGTTATATAATATAACATTTTTGTTTAATAACATTTTTAGTTAAATAAAATTTTAACCCTCATAAAAAATAATATAATTCACAATAAAGGATTTTGCAAAATAAAATTAAAGGTTAGAGGGGTTAATTTTAACTTTTAAAGGTAAGGAGGTTGTATGCAACTATTTAAAAGTTTATGAGTATTTTATGCATTTTAGTCTAAATTGTATTGACATAATTAATGTATTGTAAAAAAAGATATTGCCTTACATTACTTACTTTGTGTTATTAAAATTATTAATATAAAAAAATTTAATTTTAAATAAAAATTACACGTATTAAAATTATAATTACTATATTTAACGTATATTTTAAAAGAAATATATATATATATATATATATCATATTCAGGGACAGGATGAGATATCTTGAGAGCAATCTTGTGTCTAGTTTTATCCTGTAAAGTCTTATTTCTATTGTTTTTAAGTCAAGAGTAGATTCTTCTTGACTAATTGAGTCAATCGAGATGAATATAAGGTAAGTATTCCTCTTAATAGAAACTAGCTAGGGAGAATCACACTCACAGCTCCCGGAAGTTACATATTAGCAAATAGGGCTCCAAACATTCTGAAAAATCAATTAGGACCCAAGATCATTAATTATGATAAAATTTTAAGTGTCAATTATTAAATCCCTCTCAAGTTTTTTTTTTTTTGGCCACTATCGCTGCAGCCATCGTGTCGCTTGCAGGGCTCTATCGCCCGTGACGACCGCCAGAGCTCCAGTACCTATAACAGTGATCAAATGCTGGTAGATTTTTGCTGTATTTCCACAAGAATAATTTTTAATAATTTAAAAAGTTCATTTTTTTTTCTAATTCTAAAAAGAAAATATGTAATCTTTCAGGATTCTTTCATATGTTTTTAAAAAATAAAAATAAATATTAAAGAAATCGAACCCTCTGTCCATACTACATCATCCATTGTATTAATATCGTCCTGGCGAGGGCACTGGATGATGCGTATGTGTTGAAATTCATCACATTAAACTAATCCAGAATTTTTTGGCAAAAAATAAAAAACTGATCCAGAATTCTCGCACACACATATATTAAATTCAAGATGCTGATTTAGCAAGGGAACAGCGACATGAATCACAGCATCCAGTAACACACAACAAATGACAAGCTTCGACCACATAAAAAACACAGGACGAGCAAATATAACGAGAGTTACACATATAGGTCCAAAAAAATAATAATTACTCACAAATATTAATTAATTGTAAATTTATGAATTTGACGTGTAAATACTTTAAGCTTGATTTGGATGGAGAAAAGTAGGAGGGAAAAATAAGAACGAGAGAAAACTAAAAGGAGATTTTTAAAAAAAAAAAACCATTTCTAAGAATTTTTTTCTTATAATTTTCCTTCATTTCTATTTTTCTTCTTATCTAAACAAGGGTGCGAGTCCGTACTATATTTCCACTGCCACTGCCCCTGCCACGTCCACGTGCATTCCATCCACCACCGCCTAGTCTGCCTCTACCTCCACCTCCTATGTCTTATTTAACAAGCGTGAATTAATTATAGCAAAAAACACACACACCCATATATGCACAACAAAACGTTCGCTTGCACAGCAAGTTATTAAGTTTGCCTCTAATTTCATCAACCTCCGCCGCCGCCGCCACTGTCGCCTCCTCCACCACATCCTCCTCCTTCATCACTGATGGCATCAAAGCTCCAGAGCCATTCATAAAATTCATTCCATCTTCATTTTCACCCCCATCTTTCTCTTCAACTTGCAATATGTGCGTCTGTGTATGTCTCCCTCTCTGTTAGCAATGTATATAGGTTAAGTTGATCTAAATTTTAGTCAAATAGGTTTGAATTAGAAGCTTGAGTCTGACTTAAAATTTATATAAGACTTTTATCATGATTTATATTTGAGTCTATTTAAAATATGACCTCACCTGAAAATATTTAAAAGCCTATTAAAAGCACACTCTTTAAATAAGCTTATATTTTAATTTTAAATATCTCAACTATACTTAAGACTATTAATATAAATACATAGCATGATTTATCAACTATAATATATAATCATTAAAAGAACTTACCAACTACACAATACAATACAATAATAAAATAATAGCATTGAAATCAATATATAAGTTCAGTGTGATTGAAAACATAACTAAAGAAAAAAATTAATTAAAAATCAAATTATGAAACTAATGTATGTGTGATATATTGTAACACACACACACACACACATTTATGTGTGTAAATAGGATAGCTTATTAGACTTATAGGCTAGACTTTAAAAAATTAAGCTCGATTTATTTAATTAAATATGCTTAATTAAAGAACTGAATTTGATCTGAATTTATTTAAAAAATAAGTTAGACTAAGCTTGAAATAAGTTAGAGTGTAGCCCTATCAAAAACCTTGCCGGTTCTCACTCTAACTTTCTATGTATGCAGGCGCCCACACATGCAGAGTGTGGTTGTGTGTGGATTCAGCTCTGATGGACTTTTCATGCAATTCTTAAATTTCGAAGAAGTTACATGAAGGATGTTTATTTATTTTGTGACAAAAGACTATTCAAACTTCAAGCTCTTGTCAAGTTTGGGATAATAAAAGTTGGATAAGTTAAGTTTGTTTTTTCAGTTTAATTTTTATCAATTCAGTTTTTATAATTT